GGGGTGGCCTTTCCTGATCACTCATCCCCAAAACATGTTTTTTCGCTTTTGGACTCTGGAAGCCACCCTGTTTCCACCACTCAGCACACATTTTGCACTTGGTTTCCTTGGTTTGTTCTGTCCTCTCACACCCTCCTAGGGGACACTCCAGGCTTCCTGAGATCTGCTTGTCCACCCCAACATGCCCTAGCACACTGCTGTGCCCTAAGCTGTCTTTTAGGAGCTGTTGTGCCTTTCCCGGCAATGTGGCCACTGTGGGCCATGTTGGGAGGGGCATAATGGCACCTTAGCCGCAACTCTACAGACTGGCTGGTTTTGCCTTCTCTGGGTAGGTCAGCGAATTACTGCCCCCAGAGATGACTTGCCTGGTGATCTGGCTTCAGGAGGGTCCCAAGTATGACATTCAGCGCTCCTCCTAGGTCGCTCAGCTTGCTCAGCTTTGCGGATGCATTTCCCGTCTTGTGGAGGAGAGGTTGGGGAAATTAGGTTGTGAAGTGGTCTGAGTAGGACGAGGTGTTTGGAAAGAGCAGGGAAGGCTGAGGTCAGACACTGTCCCGAAATGAACTTGGGGCTCTGCCAGGTGGCGCTGAAGGAAGGCGACTTATGGTAGTGGTCAAGGAGACAGTGAGTACTGGCTGGGGAGAAAGAGAGAGTCAACTATGGGCAGCACAGGGATGGCGCTGGCAGGTGGCTGGAGGGCAGAGCAGGCATGATCTGGTCATGTGAAATCAGTTCTCATGGAATACATGTTGGCATTTTTGTCTCAAAGAATTACAACCTCTTCTTCTCATCAATGCTTTTTATAATAGTTTTAGGAAAGAAAAATATATGCATTAGCTATTATGAGCCTTCTTTTGAACTCTTTCAGTCTGGAAGCATGTCTCCCTTTACGAAAAAATACAATCAAAGTTAAAAGATATATGTGGGGCGAGGGGGAGACTAATTCATATTTTAATTTGACAAGATGACTCACTAGAATTTCCTTAGAGACCTATAAGACATTCAGAGATGCACATTTCCCCCCTTGTTTACATAAACTAAAAGAATATAAAGTGAGTTACAGTTATTTTTTTCAACAAGACGGAGGGGGCCCATTTAGCTAACCAAAAAGACATCTGTAGAAAGAGGCATTTTTTTTAAGAATTTTAAAAAAGATTTTATTTATTTGAGAGAGTGCGAGCGAGCGTGGGGTGGGGGAGGAGCAGAGGGTAAGGGAGAAGAGGGAGAAGCAGACTCTTGGCTGAGCACAAGAGCTATGTCCCTGGCTGGATCCCAGGACCCTGAGATCATGACCTAAACCGAAGTCAGACACTTAACCAACTGAGCTGCTCAGGCACCCCAAAAGAGCCATTGTTGGTTCTTCACCATGAAAGAGCAGTACAAACCCAGGAGTCAAGTGGGCATTATCTGTGTCAGTGAAAGGCATCGTACTCACATAATTCAGACTAAATTTGGAAATTGAGGGGATATAACCACTGCCACTTGTTAACCTGCAGCAAAGCAAATCAAGTACATATTGACCAAGTTGAAACACATGCTAAGGACAACTCTGGGGCTCCAGGATGAGCTCTGCTGCATATCCATGAGTAAAAGGGCTCACTGGAGAGACTATCCTGCCCAGCAACGGTCTCAGACAAAATATTAGCATGTCATATCATAGTGTGAAACTTTAAAAATAAAATAGGTGCTTGTGCTGACCCCTCGATCCCCTGAATGCCTCTGCAGGTGGTTCTGACTTGCCACTTGAGGGCTGGGAACCTCACAGCCTTGCACTTCCCTCCAGAGGGTCAATCCCCAAAGGGCTGTTTTCATTTAAAACTCTGTAAGACCTTGTGAGGCAAGACAGCCCTCCTGTGGTTGCCCATTAATAGAGAGAAAAGTGCGATGTTCCTCCCATCTGCCACAAACACCATGTGGAGTGGGGGAGGGGGGCGCATAGTACACAAGGCTGTCACCCAGGGCAAATGCAGTGGCACCAGTGACAAGATGTGTTCCTGAACTTATGAGCCTTCTCTCTAACACTCCCAGAAGCACTGGGTGGAGGATGCTTTGCAAACGCAGGCGGGGATGGAACTGGGGGGCAAGATTACATCATTGATGACCGGATGAGAATTCCGTGGGGAGCTTAACATGCTCTGTACTCTGGGCTCTGTGAAGGCAGATGAGTCTAACAGGATCATATGCGTTCGATGACATCCTTGGTGGGTCCTAGACCTACCGTTAATTGGATTTATGACAGTGGCCATGGAGGTAGCCATTCGTGAATGTTCAGGCAGGCAGTGACTCCCATTCATAGGGATTTTATAGACTAGTAAATGTCAAATAAAACTTTTGGGAATTGACATATGGTTATCAACTTTGTATCAACTAAGGACAACGGAAAAAAGACTAAAAACCACTATCTGTTGTTGCATACAAAGAGGACAATTTTAATATAAGGAAGGGAAACTTCAGAATTTAAAAACTGCACACATTGTACTTTTAAAACCTTTGAACTATACTGTCCTTGGCTTTCTCACTCTCTGTGGACTGCCAGAAAGTTTATCACCAGCTCCTCTCTGCAAACTAAGGCTCCTTTGCCTTGACCACTCAGGGGCAGCCATATGGCTTGCCAATGATGTTAATTTACTCTGAGAAGTGGTTGCAGGGCTTTAAGGGAACTCCAAGGAATTCAAGTGCAAAAGCCTCTCAGTATTTTGCCTCAGTTTCCAATATTAATAACTGTGTGTTGAGTGCTTTAAAGAGAAGTGAACAAGACAGACTGTGGCAAATAGAATCTTGGAAACTTGAAGCTGGAAGGCTTCTTAGCAGTGACATCACCCCTGTGGTTTTTCATACCAGTGCTCCATGGAGGCACGGCAGTGCTGCTGGAACCAGCAGACCTCCATTTTAATTATTTTCAACAATTGATCTTCTAATTAAGACAGAGCAGAGTTCAATTGCTTTAAAAAAAAAAAAAAAAAAAAAAAAAAAAAAAAGCTTGAACACCACTGATTCAGCCCACCTCAAATTTAGAGGGGGAAACAGGCTGAAAGAAGCTTTGGGATTTGTCTGCGGCCACCTTTTTATCCTGAAGAACCTTGTGGCGGTGGGCTAGGCAGGATTCTCACTGTCAGCCCCCCTCACAGTGTCTGTTCCCAGCTTCATTGATGGCTGATACAACTCTTCCCATTGCTCTGGGGCAGGGCAAGTTGACCCCTAGAGCTCCCCTCTGGGAAATTTCCGACTGACCCTGTACTCTGGTCGTGCTGCACCTGTACTCTGGTCGTGCTGCACCTCGTACTCTGCTTGACTCTGTTCCTGCATGATGAGTTTCATGGGCAACTGCTGAAAACTAGTTTTTAAATTCCAGGTCTGTATTTGTGCTTCCACTTTGACTTTTACTGATAAAAATCTCTTTAATAGTATTTCATTTTATTGTATAAATATCATTTTATGATTCAAAGGTCATAACTATATTAAAAATTTTAAAGGTATTTTATTTTATGAAATATCCACTTTTATTAAAATGACTGAACTCTCCCATCTGGTATATAAACTGAGATGAAGGGGTTTCTACTTGCTTTTCTGGGCTCCTCCTACAGCTAGGCCCAGAGCAGGCGAACAATATTGGTATGTCTACCACAAATACACAATACATTGATTTTGTAGCAACCACCCCAGTGGTGAAACTCGTCATCTGCTAAGTCTGGATACAACTCAAATGAAAATAGAAAAAAAAAAAAAAAAAAAAAAAAAAGGACTAATTCATGGAGACAATGATTTGCAAACTGTGATTTCTAATCATTAACGGGTCATAAAATCAATTTAGTGGGTTATGACAGCATGAAAAAACACAGAGACATAAGAGCCAAAAAGTACAACAGAAATGGAGATATCAAAGGACACTGCATGCCTCATGGATAAATATTATTTCATGAATATTTTGTTTCAATCTGTATTAACACATATGTACTGAGTCATAGATTTTGCAGCCCACAACAACACCCCAGAGAAAGTCATATTTGGCCACTCAGTCCCTTGAGAAAAGATTTCTGTCTTTGTTTTTGTTTGGTTTTCCCATCTCCCTGCCATGATTTTGCGCTGCGGAGACCGGTAATCGGGAGGCCCCGCCCCCTCAACCCAACAAGGGTCCACAGCGGTCTGCGCGCCACCACTTCCGGGTCACCGCTGTTTCCTATTTTTCTTCCTGACCTGTAGATCCGGAGCTCAACAGAAGCACAGCTGCTACAGCGCGTCTGAATGGAGTCAGTGGAAACCTCAGGTCTCCGCTGCCCTGGGCCTGGCATGAACCCCCGGCCTTCACAGCCAGCACACTTCACAGATGCGGTCTCCCGCCTTTTACCCATAGCCGTACCTCCTCTGCACACCTTGAGCCGCTGGCATGGTACACACGGGGACCGAGTGAGTGTTTCCACAGAAACGAATTCAACAGTAAGCACATTCCGCTGATTATAAACCACATACATTAAATTCAACAAAATAGAACAGTTTTAAATGAACTGTCTCTTCATTTCTCTATACTTCATATAAAAGTACTACACCAAGTTTAATGGATACTGATTAAATCCTAACTGTTGCCTAAGCAGTGGAGGCATTGCCTTCTGTGGCTATCCGTAGTAGTTCTATTACTTCAGTGTCAAACCTCAAATAGTACAGTTATACAACACTGACCCTTCGTATTTGAGCAGTTATAAACTTATTATTTTAATATATTGTATATTCAGTACTAGTTAACATTTTATCATAATTTAGTAATAATACATGATACTTTGGGAAGAGGAAGACAGTTAACTGAATTTTCTAGATGCTAGTGAGAAACACATCAATGTACACCATATTTGGGGATGACCATAATTTGCCCTGCGACTTAATGGAATCCAGAAAAGTAAACCAAAGCCTTTTTAATCCAGAAGGACACAAATGTTGCTTGAGTTCAAGCCCTTCACCTTTCATATTAGGAAATACCTGTGCACCAAGGTAATTACTCAGTGAGGGACATAATTACTCAGTGAGGGAGATGCCCCAGGTCTCCTGATAATAAATTCAGACCTTTTCTATTTCATAAAGATGTTTACGCTATAATACAATCATACTTTTAAAAGATCAAATCAGATATCAAGGAAAAAATACACGATAACCTTTTAGGCTAAAACAACCCTAGAGCAAGAGTTGAATAAAAAACATATGTTGACAACGGTGTTCAAGGGAACATCATTATTAGTGTGGAACACAGTGTTGTGATCTTGGGAGGGTAGAAGCTCACTGGTTAGAGTAGTTCATTGTATGTTTATGCGTTACTTTTGTGCATTAGTTATGTTTTCATCTGTATCACTTGTGCTAAATTTTTTCCACAAAAATTTGTCATTTGATTTCCAAAGTGAAGTTTCCAGCTCCTCTTTCTTTTTGGAGGAGGCAGCAAGGGGGACTTTTTCGCATAGAGTCTCTATCACTGCCAAGTCGGTGAGTTTGCTAAGACTGTCGTCATTCTGTTCATTCAAGATGTCCCAGAAATCTTTTGGTCTCTGTTTTGCTTTTTCCATGGGCCCTGAAAGAACTTTCTTTGGCAGCTGTGTGGGACTGTTCCCATGACTTTTAAAGAGGTCATCAAGAATAGATGTGTCACCAAGTAAGCCTACCACGGAAGTGTTTCCTAACTCTGGATTTTCTAGCTTTTTGTTCTCCACTTTGAAAAGGGGTTCATTTCTTGAAATGCCTGTTCTTGTTAGGTCCTGCTGGTCTTTCATGGTATATTCAAATTTTTCTAACTCATATACTTCAGTGTTCAGGGAATGGGATGCTACAGTGTCTTTGGAGGCTTGGCTGTTTTTCCCATTGTCAGTCTCTTGGGTAGAGTTCATAGGTGACTTGTTAGTTTCTCCATCATTAGGAAGCACTTCTTCTCTATGGAAACCATGATTTTGAAACTTAATTGATTTTTCTTTATATTTCTGGGGGCTGCAAATTTGAGAAACTTTTTTGGGAGAATCTTTAAATGACAAAGTTTCAGAATCTGACAGCCTTTCTTTCTTAAGAGATTCTCTTTTTTCAGACTTATTCCTGACTCTCTCTTTTTTCTGATGGGAAGATTTAATGAGTTCTGCAGCAGAATCCACAAAAAATTCTTTTACCTCTGGATACTGAGAAGCATAAAAGTCTTTTAGCATTTTCTGTCGTTCTTCTGATGTGGCATTAGTTATATGTTCAGCAAATTCCTTTACAGAAGGCAAGTTAAAATAAGAAGCCATTTCTTCAAATTGTTTTCTGAAAATTCAATGAACAAAAGCAGTGGTTATTTTTATTACATTTTATTTTTAAAGACCTCATCATCAGTGATATTTTTTTAAGGAGACAAAGTTATGTATATTTGACTCTTGTATAACAAGGGTGTCAGGTTTCTCCATGCAGTTGGAAATACGAGTATAACTTTTCACTGTCCCCCAAATTAGCCTACTGTTGACTGGAAACCTTTACCAATAACAAAACAGTCAAGTAATACATATTTTGTATGTTATATGCATTATATATAATATGCTGTATTATGTGCTATATTTTTACAATAAAGTAAGCTAGAGGAAAGGAAAATGTTATTAAGAAAATCATAAAGAAGAGATTTTACATTTACAGGACTGTATTTACAAAAAAAAAAAAAGTCTGCCTATAAGTGCATTTACACTGTTGAAACCCGTATTACTCAAGTCAACTATAATTTTATTCATTTAGTATATATTACCTTCATTCCATAATGAAAATGCATTTTACACTAGCAGGATGTGACCTCTTTCTTCATGCTACTGAAAAAAACTTTTAGCCCATGAAATAACCAACTTTTTAAGTTATTATGATTTATACTATTAGCTATCTCCTGGGAATTGAGGGATCCCAGCATGTTACTCCTCCAGTCAGCCAATTTATGACTGACATGAGAATCATAATTTATATAATCTGTATTTGAAAATCTATATTGCGTTTAAGTCTGACAATTGAATTATCAAAGAAAGGTCTTAATGAATGGAAGAGAGAAAATTCTGAAAAATAAAGGAATTTTTTTCTTCTCTCGCCTTTTTTCCCTTCTTCCACAAATACAATGTAGAAATTTCACACAATTTTTTGAAGATCCTAAAGGAAAATTCTAAATTGATAAACCTAGATTCTTTCTTCCCCCAACTGGTCTAACTTGGGTCTAGACAGGTAAACTAAGAAGTAAGATGCTATTTAAAGCAGTGAGTTTCACTCTTAGTGTAAGACACTAATAAAAGCTATTTTGTGCACATGTGAGGAAACGGGCCTTCCAGAATCCTTGTAAGACAGATGCAGAAAGAAAGATTGTTTCAGAATCCTGGATACCAGACTCTGCTCCTTTCCCCAGATGAGGGTCTTATGCACTGAACTGCGTCCCCCTGAAATTCATATGTTGAAGCCCTGATCCTCAGTGTGACTGTATTTGGAAATACGGCCTTTATAAAGTAATTAAGGCTAAATAAGGTCATAAGAAGCCACCAGAGAGATCTTTCTACACATGAGAGGACAAGGTGAGAAGGTCACCATCTGCAAGCCAGGAAGAGAGCCCTCAACAGAAGCCAAATCAGCTGGCACACTGATCTTGAACTTCCCAGACTCTAGAGTAAGAAATAACTTTCTGTTGTTTAAGCCCCAGTCTGTGGGATTTCGTTACAGGAGACAGAGTAGATTGAGACAGAGGGTACTGCTTTGCTGATACTGAGTTTGGGCCATGAATCAGGAGAGCTCAGTGTTCCCAAACATTCTTTCAGACAAAAGCCAGAGATGGTTTTGTAGCCCAAAGTTTTAGAATTATAGTTATATTTTATATAATACTTTCTTTTTTTTTAAGATTTTATTTATTTATTTGACAGACAGAGATCACAAGTAGGCAGAGAGGCAGGCAGAGAGAGAGAGAGAGGGAAGCAGGCTCTCTGCTGAACAGAGAGCCCGATGCGGGGCTCGATCCCAGGACCCTGAGATCATGACCTGAGTCGAAGGCAGAGGCTTTAACCCACTGAGCCACCCAGGCGCCCCTATATAATACTTTCTTAAAACAGTCATTTATGCATTTAAGAAATATTTATAGACCCTCTATGTGCTAGGCACGGTGAACAGCCCTATACCATATTCTTCAAGGAGTTTATAGTTGAGCTAGGGGAGACAGATGCATGTAAATCAAACCAGAAGAGACTGATAAAGCCCACTACAGTATAAATACAGGGCCCTGTGGGTGCCCACAGATACTGAAGCCAGCGATGGGTCATGGGTAAGGTAGCAGGGCAGGCTTCCCTGGTGTCACCAGTCAGATAAGGATGAATGAGGAAACATTCCAAGGAGAGAGGGAACACGCACAGGCCCACTTCTGAGAGGACCCGGCATACAGTGGGGCAGGAGGAACAGCCAGGGAAGAGGGTGAAAATCATGAGGGGTCCGTATGCCAATTTCAGAAGTTGCATTTTCTCCTGCACACAACAGAGACTCCTGAAGGTAAAATAATGATTTATTTATAATGTATGTATGTAGGAGCTCTAAAGCCACTATGATTTTTGCTGCTCAGACCAGGTTACATAAAGTTTGTGTTTCCTGTGATTTGAGTGGCAATCCATCCCATGTGCTCACGACTTTCTTTCGTGGTTCCAGATGAACACACTGGCTTCCAGTCCTCACCACACTGGTCCTATTAACTGTTCCAAGTCCAGATATTATCTATGCTTGATCAACAGCCACTCTTCCTGCCAACAGAATATTTAATAACACAAATACAAGCTTCCAAATTTCTGTCCTGGAAATTGCCAATGTTCTTGTTGGAAAGCAACAAGCACGTTCTTAAAAGGTTCCAGTTTTCACTTCATATGAAGTAATGAGGTATTATTATTTTGTTTATTAATCATCTCCAAATCCATTTTCATGGCCTTTCTAATAAATATTTGTGCTGCAAAGATTAGGTTAATGGCCAAGTTATGGGCTGATGTCTTCTTATTTATCCAAGACTTGGTGGTATCTCAGCAGCTGCCCAAGTTTCAAAGTTTCAAAGCTGCCAAACTTTCACCTTTGCTATGCTGACCTCACTCACAATCCCCATGATTCTGTCACTTCTGGGAGGAGACCTGCTTCTGACCCCTGTCATGTCAGTAATATGCAAGTAAATTCGGCTGTGTGGAAGCCCCCTCACAGGATAAGTTATGATTATAATTGTTTTATTTTTGCCTTCTACCTGGCTTCCATAATTCTTGGTTTTTAAAAAAATATTCTCCAAGTATTGAAGGAAGTACAAGGTACAATCAGGAGATATAAGCTAGCCACTTTGTAAGGACAATTTAATAAATGAGAATAGACACTCATGAGCCACTACAGAGAAAGAAAAAAAAATAGAAAACCAAAGATAGGTATCTTTCAGCCAATATATCCAGAGAAGTTGTGTGCCATGGATATAATTCACATTCTCTCCCCTTTTCTTGAGGAACTGGGGGAAAGGGGTAGAACACAGCTAAACCATCTTCTCTTCACCTGAGCTTTCTGAAGTGAAGGGAGACAGAAACTTCATTCCAGTGACCTGAGGGCAGCAGCTGGTACAGAGCTGTGATTCTCACAAAGCGGGGGTTGGCGGGAAAGTTGTATCAGCAGTTCTAATACTGTTCCCTGGCTCAAATGTTGGTATCCTAATGTTTGCCTTTCACTTAGCTTGAGGTATTTATTCCCTAGGCTAGGCAGAGAAAGAAGGAAGAGAGGCAAAAACTAAGCATTGTTAATATACAGTGCTAGAGGGAGTAACGACTCTTGTGCTCCTCAAAAACTGGTAAAATGCATATGGTCGGTCTCTGAACAAAATAATTGCACAAAATAAACTGCCCCAAGTTTGCCCAGAATCATAGTTATAAGTCTGTTTAAGAGGAGATATAGGGCTGTAGCATGTGGGGTGTTCACCTTTTTGGGCAATGGTGGGCCACTAAGAGCCATGCTCTAACCTATCACACCAGCACCCAACGGCCGAGGAGCTGCCAAACCCTGAGGAGAGAATTTGGAACCTAGAGAGCCATCATCATTTGCCTGCTGAGCCTTTGGGGCCAATTCAACCAGACCTCCCATCCCCACTTACCTCAGCCACTATTCCTCTCTTACCTGGAACCACTGGCCTCTCATCCCCTCCTTGTCTCTCTCCTTTCCCAATCTAATGCAAACCCTCACCCTTCCAGACCATTCTTGCAGTGCCCCCAGAACAAGGCCATGATCTACCAACTCCCTGTTCTTCTCCCAGAAAGGTCCCTCTGTCCCCTCATACCGCCTCTTCCCATGCAGCCCTCACACGCTAAAGCTCTTATGACCCACACCCTAAATCTCAGGGTTCATGGTTCACGTTGCTGCTTCCAGATGATTATTTTCTTGGAGACTCCTTCCCCTCTTTTAAGTTTATGCTATCTCACTAAACCATTCTCTCCCGCAACTTGTTAAGTGACCTCTTAATTGCTTCCTGCTAGTGACTGAACACTGGAGATTAATCCTGCCTCCTTTCCTATCTCCTGCCATCATTCTTGATAACACCAATATCCATGTGGATGTCCCACCCAATTCCAACTCCTGGCCCACCAATTTCTTTACCGCTCCTGATCCAAGAATCAACTGCATGTCAGGTCCCTATTCCCAAGACCATAGACTGCCACTGTCATACCATTAACTGTACAACCTGCAAATCCCTGAATTCAGGCACCTTATACAACAGCCCAACTGTTCAATCCTCTATGACCATAATGCCGGAAGATACTTCTGACCTCATCAAGCCTCCCCTTGTCTAGCTTAGGTTCAATTTTATAATTACTCCTTTGCAAACATCCTTCAGCTTCCTTGCTTCTCTTTCCCTCCATTCTAACCCCTGAACATCTCTCTATTCTGTGACTGTAACTGAGCAATTGAAGCTTGCTGAACAAAGTCTGCGCACTTGCATGAAAGCTTCTACTAGAATTACTCTCAAACAGGGACTTAACATGAGTCATGAATTCTGGTCCCACTAAACTGCTGTCCTATTTTATAAGTGATTTATTTAATGATTTTTCTCTCTCAAAATTTCTCTCCCTCTGAATTGATACTTCAATTCTCAATTAATTGAGGAAATACCACTGTACACAATTCCTGTCTTCATCCCTTCATCTAGGAGTTAGACCTTCTTCATGGGTCTTGACCTCACTCTCTCCTGCCTCCAGGGCTTCTGTTAGCACATCTTGGCCATGTTCTCTTTTTCCCCTGTTCCATACACAAACTGGTTCTATTATCTTCCCAACTTTAAAAAAGCTTATCTTTGACAATGCCCTCTAGCTCCTGCTACTTTTCACTCTCCAAGAGCTGTCACAGGATCTACCCGCCCATCCCCTGCTTGCCCACCTCACCCCAGCATCTGCTCAGAGATTTGCAGGCAGCTCCCAATCAAGGCAGCCAATGAGTTCTCTGCAGCCAGTTCCAGGAGGCACCTTCCCACTTCATCTGATTCAGGTTCTCAGAGGCATTTAATAAAGTGAAGTGCTCCCTCCTCTTTGAAACTTTCACTCCTCTTGGACTTCAGGACCTTATTTTGTGCCTCCTACCCAGTGGGCTACTGTCACCTGAAGACTTAGTTTGGCGGCTTTTCTTCTCCCCTCTGTGCTGGACTCCTAGGCTGTTCACACAGTCTGTGGCTCTAAAGTCATTTATATTCTCAATGCTGATGATTTCCACATTTAGATCTCCAGTCCCCATACCCCAGAGTAGCATATCCATTGCCTATTTTGCATTTCCATAGAACCTCAAATTTAATATGAATGAAAAGAGGATTCTTGATTTTTTTCACTCAAAACTCTTTTCTCTGCTAGTTTTCCCCATTTAGTCAACCCAGTCTGTTGTTCCAACAACCAGTCCAGCACCAAACTGAATTCATCCACTTCACTGTCTCCATGGCAACCACTCTATTGCCAACCACCATTAACTAGTTCCTTACAGTCCTGCCTTGTCTGCTCTCTTCCACGCAGAAACTAGAACAATCTTTTAGAACCATACATCAGATCACGTTCATGCTTCAAAAGCTTCTGGCTGCACTTGGAATAAAATCCAAACTCTTGTCCGCAACCTACAGGGCTTTGTATGCTCCAGCCCCATCTGTGTCTCGGCTTGCACCTCATGGCACCCTGCTTGGTTTATCATGCACTAAGCTCTCAGTTCCTTGACTGTACCAACCTCTTCCGTCCTCAGGGATGTTCTTACTCTAGTTCTTTGCCTGGTTATCCCTCAGGTCTCAGATGTCAACTCTTTTGTGAGGTCTTCCCTGACTACCTCATAGAAAGCTATCTGCACCCCCTCCAAATCCCCTTATTCTCTATCAAGGAGGCCTGTCCATTTCTTTCTTATATCATTTTATAAGTTTTTTTTTTTTTACTTTTGAAAATTCTTATGGTTTAATGCCAATTACAACTACACTGTAAGCTCTATGTCCTTTTTTACACCCTGTATGTTCAGCACACAGCACAATGCCTCAGGTGCTCAATAAATATTCAATGAATGAATATAATGCACTTAAGTATTTCATGTGTCCGTATAAAATGATTTTGGTTTTTTTTTTTTTTTTTTTATCAATTCAGGAATTAGCTTTCTAAAAACATTTAAAACATCTGGAATTTATTTTTTAAAGTATACAAATTGAGATGCCAGGTATGGTTAAGATTCAAATAATTTGTATATTTTATTAAGTAGCTATATTTCTTTTGAGAATAATTCTTGAAGTCCAATGTTGTTATAGACATACCTGCGGATTCCCTTTGGTGTTTCCCCAATTATGAAGGTGGTCTGGTCTGTGCGGTAGACTTTTTTCTTCTTCTGGGTTACAGGGTGTGAAATGTAAAGGGGAAATGAAATACTTCCTTCACTTAGTTGGTGACCTTTCTTTGTATGTGTCAATGTATCTGTTTTCACTTTTTCTTTATGTGTCTGAAAAGGAAAGCAAAAACAAAGTCTGAAAAAACAGTTATTTTTGGTTAAATGAGAAGATGTCCTTATTTTTCCCCCAAACTCTTTATAATCAAGTATATCAAATTCCCCAACTGAAAGCACTGTTAGAGATGTTAACTAGATTTTTAAAAAGAAGATATAGGGAAAAGTTATATTTTATATCTTTCTGAAATATATAAAACTAATGGAAATCCTATGATGTTTCCATGGTATCTATGGTTTAATATATATCTTAAAGATATATCTTTCTTAAAGATAGAATAAAAGTAATAACAATAAGATGATGCCTTCATTGTCAAGACTGATTGCATACCATATCCACAATACTGAGGATAAAAGTTAATGATTATAAAAATCATGGCATAAAAATGAGCTATTTAAAATTCTTAAATTCAGTAACTTTTCTCAATATTATGAGTCAAGATTTTCAAGTATTTAGTTTTATGTAAGTAGCCAAACTTTAAAAAAATAATAATCTTTATGTGAGAATTAAATAAGAAACTATTTTCATAAATCCTACTTTTTTTTAAAGATTTTATTTTTTTATTTGACAGAGATCACAAGTAGGCAGAGAGGCAGGCAGAGAGAAAGGGGGAAGCAGGCTCCCTGCTGAGCAGAGAGCCTGATGTGGGGCTCGCTCCCAGAACCCCTGGATCATGACCTAAGCCGAAGGCAGAGGCTTTAACCCACTGTGCCACCCAGGCGCCCCTAAATCCTACTTTTTAATCTCTACTGGATTGCCAGGATATTTAATAGTTTTAAGATGCTAGTTACAGTTGGTTAAAATTATACATAAAATTATATTTATTTTACAGACTATATGGGTTGCTTATTTAACATAAATTGTTAAAAATGCTGGGTCAAGGAAAAAAAAAAACTTTAAACTCCATGGTTCCAATTTCCCTGAAATGATGGTATAGGGAATATGTGGAAAGTCCTGTCGCATTCCAAAAAGAGAAATACTGTATACAATTTGACAACAACAGGAGAATTATATTTGAGCTCAGAAGTAAGAAAGGTAAATCACTAGGTGCCAAAAAGCCAAGAAGTAATGTAGTGATGAATGGGAGCTAATGACTTAAGTTATAGTCTGCAGGACCCCATGTCTAAAGGGGAGATGAAAATTACTGAACTCCCTGCATTAAAAAATAAACAAACCAAAAACAAAGGAGGATATCCAGTTTGCATATTAAAGCTAGGAAAGCCCAAATTGGGAACGTAGGAGAGAAGCAGGCTACTTTCCTACTCTAGATAGGAAGAACCACTGATGAAATGTGGACTGCCCAGGCTATGCCAGTTGTGGAATCTGATTTTGTAGCACCTGAGTGGTATGGTAAATCTAAGCTAAAAACCAACATAAAAAACTGGCCCAGAATCACTGAAAACTATGACTCTCAATGAGAAATGAATACAAAAACATACCCTAGGAAGACTTCTATAACCCAGAGAATGCTTTTGATTCCAGTGTGGGGGTGTGGGGAGGAGCTGAGGCAAAAATTATGAAGAAACAAATAAAACCCACCACCATGAAAATGGGCAGATGCAACAAGCTTGAGAATATGCAATTGGAATTATAGATAATGAAGCAACCTGAAAGAGGCTTTAAATCATTAGCAAGTCCAGAAAGACAAAGGAAGGAATAGAATTTGCCAGCAAGAACTGAGTATTATATAGGCAGATCTGAAAAAGAACCAAACACAAACTCTTAAAAGGAAATATAGTTTTGAAATAAAAAAACAGAGATAGCAACAAGCTCAAAATATGAGTTAAAGCAGCAGACTAAACAACCTTACTACGATAGTTGGGAAAGTGGTAGAGTAAGAAGACATACCAAAATTTCTAAAATACTAGAAGAAGAGAATAAAGAAAATAGAAGAGATAATGCAAAAACATAATGGCAGGTAACTGAAGAAGGCATGAATCCTCAAAACAAAAAAGGAGAGAGAATCTCTAGTGGGAAAAATAATAATAAATCTTGTACTTTGTTATATCACAGAGGGCATCTTAAAAACTAGCAGGGAGAAAAAAAAGATATCCCACAAAGAAATGACAATCAACCTGAAGAAAGACTTCTCATTAATACCATCACCACCAGAAGATAATTAGATAATACCTTCCACATGCAGAGAAGGAAAAAACTATAAACTTAGAATTCTATACCCAGTTTAACTATCATTAAATTACTTTCAGACAAACAAAGACTATAAGAGTGTACTAGATACAGATTCTTGCTAATGACATAATTATTTTTCTTTTATAGGAGTTAGATGGGATTGAAATGGCACATATAAATGAATATGGGTAGGGGATAGTTTTTCATTCCACAAATATTTACTGTTATCTTCCTGCCACCACACTATGCAGTTGAGAACAAAGATATTTACATATACAAAGAGTCCCCAACCCTTAAGGGACTTAAAAGTGACAAGCCCATTTTTTATTTTATTTTAAAGATGGAACATTTAGTTTTATTTTAAAAAATAAATCATTTATCTCTTCAACTTATATTCAAGTTCATTTTATTGAAATAAACTGAATATAAGATAACACATATAACTATTTTCTTTCTTTTCTTTTCTTTTCTTTTCCTTCTTTCCTTCCTTCCTCCCCTTCCCTTTTCCTTCCTTCCTTCTTCCCCTTCCCTTCTTTTACCTTCCCTCTCCCCTCCCTCTCTCTCCTTTCCTTTCTTCCTTTCTTCCATAATCTCTATATCCAATATGGGTACCAAAATTATGACCCCAAGATCAAGAGTCACACGCCCTACCAACTGCACCAGCCAGAGACCCTGTAACTGTATGTTTTGTAGTAACAAACCATTTCTAATGAAAATAAATTGACTTCTTAAATATCTCTTGTGAAGCAGATGGACGGACACAAAATGTTGAAAGTATTTTCCTTAAAGACATAATTTCTTGACTCTTAAAACATTAACAGAAAGGAAAGCTGATCTTTAAAGATAAATTTGAAAGAGATTTGATGCATTTATTTTACATCACAAGAAAACAGATGATGGTTGAAAGTTTCCAATAAAAAGGCTCATCATCTTAGATGGTCCCCAAGAAATAATGATCTATTACTATAAGGAGAGATGGGATGTTTACATGAAGATAAAGGGAATAAACAGAAAAAGAAGGAACTGGGCCAACCAAGAACACGCCATCCTTATATATTGCAATTTCTTAAGCCATAGAGAAATCATGCCAGACAATGGCAATTTTCAATAATTTATATGATTACTCTGGGTCTTTCTGACCTTGGCAGGATTACAGAGCTCACATTTTGTGTGGATACATTTTTTTTTAAAGTCAGTTTTATAAATTCTTCAGGGAAATTCAGCTTTTCTAACAACAGGTATCAAACATGTGGATCTCTAATTTTTGCCAAATATTCCATATTTAAAAACCTGATTGTGTTAGACAATCATAAAAATAGGAAGAACATTCTTTTCCCACATGGGCTCAGTACCATATCCTTCTTTTTTTTTTTTTTTTTAAATATATCCAGGTTCAGATTTCCATTTTGGTAGAGTCCTTTGAAACTACTGAAACAAGGTTATGAAAAAAAATTTTATTAATTAACTTAACAAACATTTTGGTGACCTTGTTATAAAGCTGGTTTCATTCCAGTAAAATAGTATCCTTTACACTAGCTGATACAAGGAAAACAGTGCCAAAGTGCAGTTGCAATTGTAGTGATAGTTATAATTTATTATAAAGCAAAGTTCAAGGCCTATGGCCAAGATGAAAAGATTCCAGATTATGCTGATTGGACTCAAGCTTATTCATTACCACTATGTCAAAGCTGTGAAGTCATATGACACTGAGGCAACACGAAGAAGTAGCAATAGTAACAAAGGCTTGAGTAATAAAAATAAAAAATCTAGTTCAGTAAAATGAACTAGATTAGGAACTGAAAAGACAATACTATCCCTTTTTAACACTAGGAAAGAGCGTGAGGTTGCTTGCTAAAGAAAGCAAAATGAATCCACTCCTTTTTCCCCCTAGAGAGTAGAATGGCCAATTACCAGAACACTATGTCTGTATTTAAAAAGAAATTTTGCAATCATGACATGAATAAAGCAGAAATGCCAGTTTCTGCAAAAGCCCCTAACTGTTCCTAATGTTTTCTTAAAAAGTTTCTTTGAAACTATCCATCAAGATTTGCCTTAAGAAAGTACATCTATATTCTGTGATTCGGATGAAGCTTATCTTCATATGATAATTTATGATTATAATGATAAGAAATTACAAAGATAAGGACTTTGTACAGTATTTATATAGTATAAATATTTCTGCTAATAAGTATTTTGGAAAGTTTGACACTATTAGAATATAATTTATAACTTATTATTGCTAAATTCATGATTATTTGCTTAATTACTGAGTATTGTTAAGTGTTTCTACTATAGTGTTTGTATGAAAAGTTAAATTTAATTTGTGGAATCTTTATTAGAAACAAAACTTAGTGAGCATAAGGAACATAGTAATTGTTTCTAGGAAATGTAAGAATGCAGTTAAGAATCCATTTGACAATGAAATTAGTTGAATGGAAACGGGGGGCTACTTAAGAAGGTGGGTTTATCAGAGAATCCTAAAGTAATAATTTTATTCTATGAGTAGTAATGTGCTATGGGCATATACATACTATATGAAGCAGTTAGTTGAGAATTGAAAAAGTGAAGGAAAAACTGTCTCCCTTCAGACCACAGTTAAACAGGGCTAAAAAGATAAAAGGCTATGTCTGATTCTCCAAGTCCTAATCTGATTTATATAATTAATAATTTAAACACATGATGTGTTGTCTTTACAAAGGTAATTGTTGTTAAAACTAAAATTCATAATATAAAAATTTGTTCAATTCAGCTAAAACATTAAACACTTTATTCCTATAAATGACAATTGTTCTAATATATTTTGGCCAAAACAGTCTCCTCATCTTTCAGAACTAAATGTTTAACTTGGAAATAGCTCACTTTAAAG